AAAAAAAAAAAAAAAAAATAGCAGGCATTGCAATTCTCGTCTCTGATAAAATAGAGTTTAAACCAACAAAGGTCAAAAGAAACAAAGAAGGACATTACATAATGGTAAAAGGATCAATGCAACAAGAAGACCTAACAATCCTAAATTCATAAGCACCCAATACAGGAGCAACTAGATACATAAGGCAAGTTCTTAATGACTTACAAAGAGACTTAGACTGCCACACAATAATAGTGGGAGACTTTAACACCCCATTGTCAGTATTAGACAAATCAACGAGACAGAAAATCAACAAGCATATTCAGGACTTGAACTCAGACCTGGACCAAGCAAACCTAATAGACATTTACAGAACTCTCCACCCCAAATGCACAGAATATACATTCTTCTCAGCACCACATCGCACCTACTCTAAAACTGACCACATAAGTGGAAGTAAATCACTCCTCAGCAAATGCAAAAGAATGGAAATCATAACAAACAGTTTCTCAGACCAAAGTGCAATCAAGTTAGAACTCAGAATTCAGAAACTAACTCAGAACCGCACAGCTTCATGGAAGCTGAACAACTGGCTCTTGAATGTTGACTGGATAAACAATGAAATGAAGGCAGAAATAAAGATGTTCTTCGAAACCAATGAGAACAAAGACACAACAAACCAGAATCTCTGGGACACATTTAAAGCAGTCTCTAGAGGAAAATATATAGCAATAAACGCCCACATGAGAAGCGAGAGATCTGAAATCAACACCCTATTGTCAAAATTGAAAGAGCTAGAGGAGCAAGACCAAAAAAACTCAAAACCTAGCAGAAGGCAAGAAATAACTAAGATCAAAGCAGAACTGAGGGAGACAGAGACACAAAAAACCCTTCAAAAAATCAATAAATTCAGGAGCTGGTTTTTCAAAATGATCAACAAAATAGACCACTAGCCAGATTAATAAAAAAGAAAAGAGAGAATAATCAAATAGATGCAATAAAAATGATAAAGGGGATATCACCACAGATTCCACAGAAATACAAACCATCATCAGAGATTATTACAAACAACTGTATGCACATAAACTAGTAAACCTGGAAGAAATGGATAAATTCCTGGACGCTTATATCCTCCCAAGCCTAAATCAGGAAGAAGTCAAAATCCTGAATAGACCAATAACAAGGTCTGAAGTTGAGGCAGCAATTCACAGCCTACCACCCAAAAAAATCCCAGGTCCAGATGGGTTCACAGCCGAATTCTACCAGACATACAAAGAGGGGCTGGTAGCATTCCTTCTGAAACTATTCCAAACAATACAAAAAGAGGGAATCCTTCCCAAATCATTTTATGAGACCAACATCATCCTGATACCAAACCCAGCAGAGACTCAGCAAGAAAAGAAAACTTCAGGCCAATATCCATGATGAACATAGATGCAAAAATTTTCAATAAAATACTGACAAACCGATTGCAACAGCACATCAAAAAGCTTATCCACCATGATGAAGCAGGATTCATCCTGGGGATGCAAGGCTGGTTCAACATACGCAAGTCTATAAATCTAACTCACCACATAAACAGAACCAAAGACAAAAACCACATGATTATCTCAATTGATGCAGAGAGAAGGCCTTTGACAAAATTCAACAGCTCTTTATGCTAAAAACTCTCAATAAACTAGGTATTGACGAAACGTATCTCAAAATAATAAAAGCTATTTATGACAAACCAACAGCCCATATCATACTGAATGGGCAAAAACTGGAAGCATTCCCTTTGAAATCTGGCACTAGACAAGGATGCCCTCTCTCACCACTCTTATTCAATATAGTATTGGAAGTTCTAGCCAGAACAATCAGGCAAGAAAAAGAAATAAAGAGTATTCAAATAGGAAAGGAGGAAGTCAAATTGTCTGTATTTGCAGATGACATGCTTGTATATTTACAAGACCCCATCATCTCAGCCCAAAATCTTCTTAAACTGATAAGCAACTTCAGCAAAGTCTCAGGATACAAAATCAATGTGCAGAAGTCACAAGCATTCCTATACACCAATAACAGACTTAAAGAGAGCCAAATCAAGAACGAACTGCTATTCACAATTGCTACCAAGAGAATAAAATACCTAGGAATACAACTAACAAGAAACGTAAAGGACCTCTTCACAGAGAACTACAAACCACTGCTCAACAAAATAAGAGAAGACACAAACAGATGGAGAAACATTCCATGTTCATGGTTAGGAAGAATCAATATCGTGAAAATGGCCATACTGCCCAAAGTAATTTATAGATTCAATGCTATCCCCATCAAGCTACCAATGACGTTCTTCACAGAACTGGAATAAAACCATCTTAAACTTCATATGGAACCAAAAGAGAGCCTGCATAGCCAAGTCAATTCTAAGCAAAAAGAATGAAGTGGGAGGCATCACACTACCAGACTTCAAACTATACTACAAGGCTACAGTAATCAAAACAGCATGCTACTGGTACCAAAACAGATATATAGACCAATGGAGCAGAACAGAGGCCCTGGAGGCAACACCACACATCTACAACCATCCAATCTTTGACAAACCTGACAAAAACAAGCAATGGGGAAAGGATTCCCTGTTTAATAAATGGTGTTGGGAAAACTGGCTAGCAGTGTGCAGAAAGCAGAAACCGGACCCCTTCCTGACACCTCACACTAAAATTAACTCCAGATGGATTAAAGACTTAAACATAAGACCTAACACCATAAAAACCCTAGAAGAAAATCTAGGCAAAACCATTCAGAACATAGGCGTAGGCAAGGACTTCATGACCAAAGCACCAAAAGCATTGGCCACAAAAGCCAAAATAGACAAATGGGACCTAATCAAACTCCACAGCTTCTGCACAGCAAAAGAAACAGTCATTAGAGTGAATCGTCAACCAATAGAATGGGAAAAACTTTTTGCAGTCTACCCATCTGACAAAGGGCTGATATCCAGAATCTACAAAGAACTGAAACAGATTTACAAGAAGAAAACAAACAAGCCCATTCAAAAGTGGGCAAAGGATATGAACAGACACTTTACAAAAGAAGACATACATGAGGCCAACAAACATATGAAAAAATGCTCATCATCGCTGGTTATTAGAGAAACGCAAATAAAAACTACATTGAGATACCATCTCACGCCAGTCAGAATGGCGATCTTCAAACAATCTGGAGACACCAGATGCTGGAGAGGATGTGGAGAAATAGGAACACTTTTACACAGTCGTAAATAGTGTAAATTAGTTCAACCATTGTGTAAGACAGTGTGGCGATTCCTCAAGGACCTAGAAATAGAAATTCCATTTGACCCAGCAATCCCATTACTGGGTATATATCCAAAGGATTATAAATCGTTCTACTATAAGGACACATGCACACGAATGTTCACTTCAGCACTGTTTACAATAGCAAAGACCTGGAACCAACCCAAATGCCCATTGATAATAGACTGGACAGAGAAAATGTGGCACATATACACCATGGAATATTATGCAGCCGTCAAAAATGATGAGTTCGTGTCCTTTGTAGGGACATGGATGAACCTGGAAACCATCATTCTCAGCAAACTGACACAAGAACAGGAAATCAAACACCACATGTTTTCACTCATAGGTGGGTGTTGAACAATGAGAACACATGGACACAGGGAGGGGAGCATCACACACTGGGGTCTGTTGGGGGGAAATAGGGGAGGGACAGTGGGGGTTGGGGAGCTGGGGAGAGATAGCATGGGGAGAAATGCCAGATATAGGTGATGGGGAAGAAGGCAGCAAATCACACTGCCATGTGTGTACCTATGCAACAATCTTGCATGCTCTTCACATGTACCCCAAAACCTAAAATGCAATTTAAAAAAAAAAAAAGAAAAAAAATCAGGTGGACATACTTGTATGGGTCTATTTCTGGGTTTTGTATTGTGTTTAACTGATCTCTATATCTATATCCCCACAATACCACACAGTCTTGAGTACTGTAGCTATATGGTGTCTTGAAATTGAATAGATTGATTACTCCCTCTATATTCTTCTCTTTTAAAATTGCTTCTGGCCAAGGTCACTGGAAAATCATCACACTGTACACTTACAACTCATATTTCTTGTATGTGTATTTCAAGAAAAATTTGTAAATAAATAAAGCAGCTTTAAATAGACATATGCACTCACTTTTAAGATACATTCTTACCAAAAAGCAGCAAAATTCAGAAGTGTATATAAAAGCTTACCATTTGTGAAAAATTTATGTATATTGTTATATATATAATATATACAATCTGGAAATATACAAAGGAAAGTGATAGGAGTGGTTTTCTCTAGTGAGTGTCTAGGGTAGAGATGAGGGACAAACTATTTTTCAATGTGTAACCATTTGGATTTTTTACTTTATTTTTAAAGACAGTGTCTCACTCTGCTACCTAGGCTGGAATGCAGTGGTGCCATCAGAGGTCACTGTAACCACAAACTCCTAGGCTCAAGTGATCCTTCCACCTCAGCCTCCAGAATAGCTGGGGCTATAGGCACGTGCTACCAAAGCCACCTAATTTAAAAAAAAAAAAAAAAAAAAGATTTTGTCAAGACAGGGTCTTGCTATGATGCCCAGGCTGATCTGGCATTCCTGGCCTCAAGAGATCCTCCTGCCTCCATCTCCCAAAGTTCTGGGATTGCAAGCATGAGCCACCATGCCTGGCCTACATTTTAAAAATACTTCACTATGTGCAAGTATTACCGATTCAAAATTAGTTAATTAGTTAAAATAATTACTTTTTACTAGCCAGCTGGGAGCCAAAATAATTTTATCATTACATGAAAATTACTCTGAATTATTCACGGGTGTTATACTCAGATCCTATAACATACCCAATTTATTCTTTAGATTTAGTTACATTAAACGGGTTTATTGCATAACTGAGTCTGACATGACCAGAAGCAGCAGATTAGTAGAGATAGGGGAGATTTACTGGAAGCAAGTATACTCAAAGTTTCAGGAAAAGATAACAGCTGGAAAATTCAGGGTAGAAAACAAATATTTGAAACAGAGAAGTAACACAGTCAGGACTGTTTGGTACAGGAGCAAACAGTCCCACCTATTCAATAACTTTTGAATTTATGATACAGCAATCACTGTTCACAAGTTCAGCTTAATTCATACTAATAGAATAAAATAATGCCAAGTAGATTTTTTTAAATCATGGGTTACAGTCTCCACACTAGTGTGATCATAAAATGGAATCATATAGAAAGCAAATGAACCTGAAAGTGGTACCAGGAATTTGTGCCACATAATTCCAAAGATATAGAATCTCTTCTTGTTTGTTTCCTTTCCTCTTCTTTTTGCCTCTGGATCCTGCCACTTTTAAATCCAAGTGTCCATTTTTTTTTTCCTCTGAGGATAGAGCTTGATTGACTACCACAAAGGTCCCAGATATTAGAATCTCAAATAACTGTTTTCTTTTCATGAGTGTACTATGAGAGTTGTATGTGTGAGAGAAATTGTGTGTGTACTTCCTGGGACATTCTAGCTTAAAGCAGCAAAAGCAAAACACAAGTCAGTAGGAAACTTGTTTAAAGAATGTCTTATATGCAGTCAACAAGTATCAGACATAACAACCCTAAAGACATTCCTATTCAAGTGAAGGATAAAATAAACATATTTATAACCACTACTTCTGAAGTCCACTATTTCTCAAGTAATAAGCAATGCCATGAGATAAGAAAAAGAATACTAGTCAAAAATATTAGAAGAGAAAGTAAAATGATCATTATTTGGAAAAGAAACTTTTTCCCCTACCCAAAAAACATACTTAAATCAAAAAAGTAATTTGGACATTTAAAAAGAAATACATAAATATATTTTTTCTATAAAGCAATAGTCAAAAATAAAAATAAAATTATGTCCCATTTATAGTAGCAACATGTAAAATATGAACATATAAAATACATAGAAATTAAATTAGTATGTAGGGCCTACATGAAAAAAATGCAAATATTTACTGAGGAGAAAGAAAAAGTATATGTTAAGCTGACCTTGTTCTTGGTTTGAAAAAATAAGTTTTATGAATATATAACTTCTCCCCAGATTTGAAAATTACTTAAATATAATTGTAATCAAAATCTTAAAGAGTATTTTAAGGGTGAAGGAGATTAGAGAAAACCAGTCAAAAATGACTGTAAAACTCTTCTGGACTAAGGTATGAAAACAGTCAAAATATTCCTGAAAAAGAATATTCAATAATGATTAACTATCAGATGTTATAATTTATCACAAATTTCTAACAATTAAGACACTGTAATGGCAGGATTAAAGCATGAATTTATTTCATTTCTCTCAACTTTTTATTTTGCTAAAATGAATACAAATAAATTATCAATTCCACAAAAGCAGCAGTAGCGATTTTTATTGGCATCACTACCCAGGTAATTAATATGACCAGTACTGTCAGGGATATTGAGAAATTGTATAATACTAATAACTACCATTTATAGAATGATTACTCCATGCCAGGTGCTGCGCTATGCATATTACATATATAAATTCGTTTAATCTACACAACAGCTTTGTAAGGTATTATGTAGTATTATCTCCATTAGACAGCTGAAGAAGTTTGGGAGACAAAAGTAGGTGGAGAAGTAGTTAATTTATTTCAGAGGGCAAAGGCAACAAACCAGTCTGCCCCAGGGAATCCAGGAAGGACTCAGAACTATGACACCACATGCAATGAATGATGAAGGTAAGGTGCCACTTAACAAAAAGGTTGAAAAACTGCATACGCACATCTCCACATATCTGCTCACAAGACATTCTCTGCATTAAGTTCAAAGGATTCACCCATGGCCCAGGACATCATGTGCAGTTGTGAGTATGAGTGACAGCTGAAAACAGAATTCATTATAATTCTATTTCTAACAGTTCCAGCCCCCTTTCGTCTGTCCTCTGTGCAAACATTATCAGCCAGGAGAACCAAGGAAACTTGTGGAGAACCACTTAGCATAAACTATAAGACGCAGTATCAGACTGATATGTAGCTATCCCAACAAAATAAATGCCCTTCTACCTAGTGACTCCCAGTGAAGCTACCCAATAACAGGTTAAATATGAAAGAACATCCAAGGATAAAAGAGAAAGGCGTCAGAGAGGAAAGCAAATTTCAGATAACAAGAGAAAGAGATCTTAAGCGAAACAAATAATGCCCTGAATAGTTTTTAATAAAATTATTATTCTCAGAGGATAAATCAAAGGCTTCCAGAGATAAGCATAGTGTTAAATGAAACAATCAGAAAACAAGAAACAGCTCTTAGAAGTTAGAATTTTTTTTTCTTTATAAAAAAAGACCCCCAATATAAATGTAGGTAAAGGGACACGAGGAATATACCCCTTAGTGTTTGAGAAATAGGGGGACAGAAGGAGAGGCCTCAGAAGGAGAGGTAGGAGGGGAATGTCATTAAGGCAGCAAAGTAATCTCTGTAGATAGATGGAGGTGGGGCCTCTACAACCTCAGGGACGAAGGTAGAGACTGCCCTCTCAGTGTCCAGAAGGGAAACGGCAGCTTTTCTTCCTTCCATGGCAGCCACTTCATTGCTCACTCCTTATGTAGATTACCTTCCTCATGTAGATAAGAGTGCTGCAGAGCTCGAACGGCAGAGATTGGCTTGTGTGGGTTAAAAGTCAGCATTTCCACCAGCAGATGTGCTCCCAACTCCTCCATCTCAAGTACCACCGACTGCACTGGGTGCGGCCCTCTGGGGTGAAAGATTCCATGGGGCAGGGATACATCTCGAGGCCAGTCATTCTCTGGAGGCAGCCCAATCAGGTCAGAGATTTTGCCCAACTGGTCAGCTTCAGAGTTTCCACAGAAGAGAGGCTTTCAATGAAACATCTCAGCAAAGATACAGCCAACACTCCACATGTCCACGAGTGTTGCCTATGTGGACTGCAAAAGAACATCAGGAGCTTGGTACCAGAGTGTAACAACCACGGGTGTAAGCGCCATCTGGTAGCTGTAGATTCTGGCCAGGCCAAAGTCAGCCAGCTTGACTGTTCACCACTTGTCACCAGAATGTTCTCTCGCTTTAGATCTCGGTGAACGATGCAACTGGCATGAAGAAAATCTAGGCCTCTTAGAAACTGGCATCAGATCCTTGATGGTATCGGCTGGCAAGCCTGGTGGGGGTGCCTTGTCCAGATACATCCTTAGATCTTGGTCTACATGCTCAAACACCAGGGTTACCTTGATCTCTCAGTCAGTTCGGGATGTGGCACAGACATCCATCAGCCGGACAACGTTGGGATGCTCAAAAGCCTCCAGTCACCTCAGTAAGGCCACCTCACGAACTGTGCTGACGGGAAGGCCTCCTCCAACTCCTCCATTGGGGACTCTCACACTCTTGAGGGCCACAAAGTGGCCACTGTGGGGATCACGGGTCTTGCACACTGTCCCATAGGCACCAACACCAATTTCAGCCACTGGCTCATATCGAGAGGTAACCATTCTCAGATCAAGGGAGACCCTCATGCCAGGCCGGGGTGCTGTGGGGGTGGCCTGTTATCGGGGCCCCAGAGCCAGTTCCTGAGGCCCCATACACCCGAGCTCGGTCCCAGGCAGCTGGACGCAGATGGCCTGACCATAGACACAGGACGCAGGCTAGAGAGCTAGAATTTCTTTTTTTTTTTTAAGATAGGAGCCTCAATGTTGCCTGCAGGCTGGAGCTGGAGTACAGTGTTGAGATCTAGGCTCACCGCAACCTCCACCTCCTGGGTTCAAGCAATTCTCCCACTTCAGTCTCCTGAGTAGCTGAGATTACAGGTGTGCACCACCACCCCTGGCTATTTTTTTTTAAGTAGAGACAGGGTTTCACGATGTTGGCCAGGCTGGTATTGAACTCCGTCTCAACTGATGCACCCATCTCGGCCTCCTGAAGTGTTGAGATTACAGGTGTGAGCCACCATACCCAGCCAGAAATTAGAATTTAATAGCTACAATTTTAAAAGGCTGGAAGTTATACATTGAAGGAAATTTCCTAGAAACTGAAAAAAGAAATATGGATGATTTTCATGGTAGAGAAAAGATAAGACATGTATTCAATCCATAAGGATTGCTTGAGCCCTGGAGGTCGAGGCTGCAGTGAACTGTGATCATGCCACTGCACTCCAGCCTGAGTGACAGAGCAAGACCCAACTCAAAAAAAAAAAAACAAAAAACTCAACAGGCATTTTCATCAAATTCTAGTATATCAGATGAAAACATTGAAACAGCCTCGAGGAGTATAGAGAGACAGCTTTTGAATAAAATGAGAATCAGAGTTGCATTAGGCTTCTGATTACCAACACTGGATATACCTCTTTGTTATGAGCACATTGGTAGGTAACCTTACCCTCTTTCTCCTCCTCTGAGATAGCAAACAATACAACAAAGAAAAATTAGGAACAAAATATAGAAGGTTTTTAAAAATTGCCCCATTTTTTCAGCAAGTAGGTCACATAAATTCTGCAGTAAAAAGGAAAAGCAATTAAAATTAAGAAAGTGCAAAGAGAATATAAAAGTCCCTTATGAATAGCACATCTGAGAGCATCAGTAAAACGATACTTCCCAAAAAGGAGGAACTTACTGAGTAATGCAAAATCTTCAACCCAAAAACCTAACAACTGAGTGAGTACAGAGCTATGGAAGCTGAGCTTCACCAGAAGTCACGAGGATGGAATGCAGAGAGAAAAGCACAGAGAACAGAGGGCTCTAGCAGTATAGCTCAGAAAGGTCCAGCAAAAACATACTCCCTGAGGTGAAAGGTTCACATGAAGCTGCAGGTGCTGAAAGGCCTGGGGAGTGCAGGGCTGGTGACAGAAGCTCTTCCAGATTCATCTCGGATCAAAGAACCAGAGAGAGCAGGGATACACACAAAAAAATTTCCCAGAAAAGCCACACCTGTCAGAATCAGTGGTCTCTATGACAATAAAGAGAAGGCCTTTGGAACATTTATAAAGCCTGGAAGAAAACTCCGGGGCCTCCCACCATCCAGGAAACTGCACGCCTCTAAAATATATGTTCAAGAAATGCTATGGCACAGCATCAATATAAAGATAAGAAAAATTGTGAGAAAGCTGCAAAATTGACAAATGCATGAAAAACATTCACAAGAAAAATGTTGTTATAGAACAGATGAAAATGCTGACCATACATCTACCACAGAGTAAAATTCTTAATGAAATGTTCACAGGCAGAACTCATGCATTAGCTAAGGTTTGTTGGAGCGCTTTGGCTTCACTACCTTTGGATTGAAAATATCCTTCCCATTCAGAGAACACAAAAATAATCATCAGTTTATTTTTATTTTATGACTTCCATTTTTCTTTTGATTCCATCTTTAATCTTATCTAGAATTGGTTTGAGGTAGGAATATAACAAATTTTTCTCATACATCAACTATATATTTTGTAAGGGGAAAATATGTATCCTCAAAGAAACCACTATGCATGCTTAATTGACTGGTAGAAATTCTCGGGTTTGATGCATCATTGTTATCTATATCAGCTTCTTCAGCAAGCCTGTTGCTCCCTTAGGAGAGCCCAGCAATGTTACTGATGTCTTAAACACTGCATGTCTCTGGGTGCTCACCGCCAAGGTTACAGATTCTCCCACAAAATCCATGCTATATTTAGAACTCAAGGTGCTTTTTTTCAGGTACATATAGTATCTTAAAAAGCAATTTTTTTTTAAAGGGCTAATTCATAGTATTGTATTATAGTATTTGAAATATTTGTAAGTTATTTTAGGACTAGGGGTTTTTGCTTAAAAATAAAAATTGTTAATAATAGCTATTATTACTTAGAAATAACATAATCTGCCAAGTGGGGTGGCTCACGCCTATAATCCCAGCACTTTGGGAGGCTGAGGCAGGCGGATCACTTCAGGTTGGGAGTTTGAGACCAGCCTTACCAACATGGTGAAATCCTGTCTCAACTAAAAATACAAAAATTAACTGAGTGCAGTAGAGCACGCCTGTAATCCAAGTTACTCAGGAGGCTGAGACAGAATAATTGCTTGAATGTGGGAGAAGGAGGTTGCAATGAGCAGAGATCATGCCACTGTACTCCAGCCTGGGAAACAGAGTGAGACTCCAACTCAAAAAAAAAAAAAAAAAAAAAAAAAAAAAAAAAAAAAAAAAAAAAAAAAAAAAAAAAAAAAAAAGGAGAAAAGAAAAGAATCTATTTAGAGGATTCAAGCATACAAAAATGTTAAATTATTTTACATTTATCTCATGTGATTTTAAAAATACTTTTATTGGGAAAATTTTAAACACAAAGTAAAGCCAGGCATGGTGGCAGGTGCCGATAGTCCCAGCTACTCGGGAGGCTGAGGTGAGGTGGGAGGATTGCTTGAGCCCAGGAGTTCTGGGCTGTAGTGTACTATGCCCAATCAGGTGTCCACACTAAGATTGGCATCAATATGGTGACCTCTCGGGAGTGGGGAACCACCAGGTTGCCTAGATGTGAGCCAGCCCAGGTCAGAAACAGAGCAGGTCAAAACTCCCAAGCTGATCAGTAGTGGAATTGTGCCTGTGAATAGCCACTGCACTCCAGCCTGGGCAACATAGCGAAACCCCCCATCTCTAAAAAAAAAGAAAAAAGAAAAAACAAGCCCCTCCCTCCCACACACACATAGTCAACAACCAGTTTAAAAAATTGTCCAAAATTCTTTCATTTTTCTGGTAATATTTGTTGATTATGTATTAAGCGTCCAAGAATTTCTCAAGTCTGCTTTACCTCATTCAAGAATCCAAAAAACTAGAAGACGTAAGTCAGAGACAGAATAACTGTAAAACTTACTAATGGGTACCTTTCAAAAAAGGACCAAAGTAATATCTCTTCACATTTATATATTTTTGTTAAATTTGCAAAAATTTTTTTTTCGAGATAGAGTGTCGCTCTTTAGCCCAGGCTGGAGTGAAGTGGTGCAATCTCAGCTCACTGCAACTTCCATCTCCTTGGTTCAAGCGATTCTCCTGCCTCATTCTCCCCGGTAGCTACAACTACAGGCACATGCCACCACACCCAGCTAATTTTTTGTATTTTAGTAGAGACTGTTTCGCCGTATTGCCTAGGTTGGTCTGGAACTCCTTAGCTCAGGTAATCCACCCGCCTTGGCCTTCCAAAGTGCTAGGATTACAAGATATGAGCCACCGCGCCCTGCCACAGAAATATTTTTACCGTAATCAGTTAAGACTACTGTCTCTTTCCATTTCACCTGCACCTTCTGTGTACTTTCCCCTCCTGTTGTAACCATGTAGTGGCAGTAGACATTTCTGAGATCTTGTTAATGAGTGACTGGGATATATTTGTGTACTCTGAAATCTCTTCCATGTGTAAACTATTGCTGTCCATCTCAGCTGGGAAGTCTTCTAAGAATACTTTGGTCAATTGAAACAATATTTAAGAGCAGTCACTTCACAAAAAATTGAAATGCTCTGAAATCTTGTAGTTCAGATGAGACTCTTAAAAGAAGTTTCCCTGCCGGGCATGATGGCTTACGCCTGTAATCCCAGCACTTTGGGAGGCCAAGGTGGGCGGATCACGAGGTCAAAAGATCGAGACCATCCTGGACAACATGGTGAAACCCCATCTCTACTAAAAAATACAAAAGGCCCGGCGCGGTGGCTCACACCTGTAATCCCAGCACTTTGGGAGGCCGAGGAGGGCGGATCACGAGGTCAAAAGATCGAGACCATCCTGGCCAACATGGTGAAACCCCGTCTTACTAAAAATACAAAAAAATTAGCTGGGCGTGGTAGCGCACGCCTGTAGTCCCAGCTATTCGGGAGGCTGAGGCAGGAGAATTGCTTGAGCCCAGGAGGCGGAGGTTGCAGCGAGCCAAGGTCGCGCCACTGCACTCCAGCCTGGCGCCTGGTGACAGTGAGACTCTGTCTCAA